TAGATCTTGTGATAAGCGCCTATAAATGATGCATTTCATAGAACTTATTTTACTGCATGAAAAACCAATCTTTAAGCATTAAAAGAACAAACTGAGTTTTTCAATCTGTTAAAAAGAAGTTTCAATCTGTTAAAATCACTTAACATAGGAAATGTTCATATACAATCAAAATTTTAATTGATTGAATCACAGAATCAACAGGTTAAAATGTTCTTAATGATTTTTTCATATTAAAGGTTTCGCAATTTTAATCTGTTGAAATAGAGAGATGTCATTTTTCACTTTGAAGTATCTCAGAATTTCAATCTGTTGAAATAAGTTTTAATCTGTTGAAACAGAGAGATCATTTTTTCATTATAAGATATCAAAGAAATTCAATCTATTGAAATAAGTTTTAATCTATTGAAATAGAGAGATCATTTTTTCATTCTAAGGTATCACAGGATTTCAATCTGTTGAAATATATTTTAATCTATTGAAACAGAGAGCTACCATTTTTTTCTAAACTGTTTCAATCCATTGAAAGCTCGAAACAACCGATTAAATGAGTTTTAAATGAAATCAATCGATTGAAACATCATTTTAAATCGATTGAATCTATCAGTTTCTCTCTTTTACTCTATAAATACAGTTTTGATTTCTCTTTTGAAAACACAATTTGGAAAACATTTGAAAGCAATCTTAGAGCTCTCATATTTGTGTCTTTCTCTGAGCATTCATAAACTTTTCATATCATAAGGCGTTTAGATCAAGATTGTTGAAAGATCATCAAGAGAGAAAGTTCTGAGTTAGGAAAATTGCTTCTGAACTTCTATATTGTTAAAACTGCAGTCTAGGTTTATTATTTTCATATACTTGTACAAAGTTTAATTGTGTAGATTGGGTTTGAATCTGCACTGGTTACAGTAACTGGGTTTGGTTACTGGGTGGTTAATTCAAGAGTCTATCTTGTGGTGTTGTAAGATAGTTCTTGGGGTAGATTGGTGTATATCTACTGGTTTGCATTTTTCACTTGGAATTAGTGGAACTTGGCATATTTGTCAAGAACTAGATGTAGCTCTTGGAAAGAGTGAATCAGTATAAACTCTTGTGTTGAATTTCTGCTTTCATCTCTTTTCATTTCTTGTTTATATTCTTGCTTTGTTTAAAACCAAATTTACCTAATAAAAGATTGGATAAAGATTAACCATTCTTCCAAAAGGAAGAGAGTTTTTCGAAAAAGATTTCAAAAGTTCAATTCACCCCCCCCCCCCCTCTTGAACTCAACCATTAATTCTTACAGAAAGTTCATGAAACATAAAGTTAGGATTAATACTAGGCATATCAACTACACTCCAGGCAAAGAGGTCAACATTTCTTCTGAGCACATTTGCTAGTTGTATAAATTGACTTCCACTCGTAGCATTTCCTACACGAGTAACATGGTCAGACTTTGTTTCATGTTTGGATTCATCTAATGGCTCATCGAATCTAGGTCTCTGCTTATCTTTCTCATTGCGAGGATCTACATCAACTTCCTTAACATTATTCTAACTATGTATTTAGAGCTTATTGTTGTCCTTTCTCGATGAGTATGGTCAAGTTTTCTGACTCAATGTATAACATTTCCTAGCTTCTTTCGAACCTACTTTTACCGTGGTAATATGCCCACCCTCTATGGGGAATTTCATGACCAAGTGTGGAGTAGACACAATGGCTCCGAGTTGGTTAAGCGTCTTTCTTACTATCAAGACATTGTAAGATGTATATGCTTCTATCAATATGTACCTCACTAAAATGCTCTTGCCTTCTTCTCCAACCCCAAATGTTGTCAACAAATCAACAAATTCGCAAGTATGAACTCTCTCACTAGCAAATCCAACTAGAGAATTTGGATATGGTTGAATTAAATCGTGTGAGATGTCCATCCTAAAAAAGGTGGACCAATAAAGAATGTCGGTCAAGTTTCCTCAATTAATTAGTATTTTTTGAACCCCCAAGTTTGCTATAGAAATTATTATCACCATGGGGTCATCTTGTTTAGAATCATGGGAACTAAAGTCCCTATCAGTGAAAGTAATTCGTGGCATCGTTTTTTGTTGGAATGATTGAATGATATTGATATTGTTGATTGATTTTATGTGTCTTTTCTTGGGCAAGCTTGTGTTATCCCCTCCAGATATCATATTTATGATTCCTTTTACATCCTCTGCCAGAATGTTCTATGTATGAGTCCTCGGCTGGGAGTTCGACCAGGGAGGACCTCATCCTCTTCCTCGACCTATGAAGCATGGTCGTCCCCAACCTCTGAAACTTTAAGAGCCTTATGATCTAAAACTTTTATCCTTGTAATTTTGAATGAATTTGTCCAATGCACGGACTCATGAGATCTTCAATTATGTCCTTCAATTTATTGTAGTTTTATGTCATATGTTCGAAGTTTTTGATCTCATGCACATTATTTTGACTAATCTTCATCTAGCGGTGAGTTTGAGGGTTCTGCCAATTTTACCAACTCCATGTTGCATGTTTCTTGTAAAATTGTCTCTATGTTGGCATTCAAGGGGGTGATCCTCCTTTCTTCTCTTTCTTGCCTAAATTTATTCTTTGGGTTATGTATGTTTGTGAGACCTTCCTTCTTTTGTAATTCTCTCCTTTTTCTTATCTCAATATTGTCTTCCAATCTCCTCCAAGGATTTTAGATAATCCATGTAAAGACTATCCAATAATGATGCACCTCTGAGCCTAAATATCAAGGAGTGAATAACCAGATCTAGGGATAGATTGTGAGTTGTAAGACTAACTTAATTAAAATGTTTTATCAAACTTCTTAAAGATTAATTTTTTTCTTGTCTCAACCCCTGCAGGGTGAGAGAAGTTGTTCAATAAGGTCTAATAGTTTGAAAGTTGGCTCTAAACTTTTGTGTTAGTGTTTTGAAAGATTCTATAGATTTAGGAGGTAAATCATAGAACCATTTACCTGTTGCTCCCTTCAAAGTCATTGGGAAAATTTTACAAAAGAAGGCATCAATCTCCCCAAATACACTGACTTGAGTCATGTAAGATCGGAAGTGCTCGTCCGGATCAGTACACCCACCAAAATTTTCAATGGAAGGTGTCTTCCATAATGATCATAGTGATTCTTCCAAAATTTTAAGAGTAAAAGGATTTCCAAGCTTTAGAATTGCTTGTTGCCTTACTCCTAAGGTTCCAGGTTTATCTTCTTCTGGTCTCCCCCCTCCTAGCAGCCCTATGATTGGACTCCCGCTCATAATGAGTGATTAGTGATTGTTCTGAGGAGTGTGGATTGGTACCATGATGGTGACTGATTTCTAGAAAAGGCATAGTACCTCAGAGGAGATCTCGCTTGTAACCACAACTGTTTCTATATTTCTTCACTGTGTTTCATGGATGCCTTTCTTTCAACTTCATGCTTTTTTCCACTCCTGGCAATCTCTTCTTCGTTCCTCTGTTGCATTTTTTCAATGTGCAACTTCAAACTATTGATTCATGATGGTAGTGGTGAACGTGGGACATGTTATTTCATTCAATGGGCGCCAAATATTATTGTTGAAAAGATAATGACAATTATTACAATAAAAGAAAAATAAGGCGTAAGAATGTAAATAATAATTCTTTTAGTTTGCTGCTGAAATCTAACTAGGATTTTTTTTGTTAGGTTATTGGATCTGGGAATTAACATGGATCTTGGAATCAACGTGGCTATGCTGTGAGATTTTGGAGTTAATGAAGATATTAGGGGAACCTGCTAAACACTTCATGCTTAAGTAAATTTTTAAGTGAGGTTTCTAGTTATCCACAAATTTATCACAATTACTAATTTATAAAAATAAAATAAGGATTTAAAAAGGTTTAATAAAATTTCATATTATTATCCATTATGATAAATATATAATCGATCATTTAATGAGATCATTTAATGAGTTTAATCGAGACAATAATATCCTTAATTATAGCTAATAAAATAATCATTTTAATCTTTAGGAAAATAGATAGACACATAAATGTTTCATGTTATTGTCTAATATGGATTATTTGAGTATGTTCATGAAGTTAAATCGGTATATAAAATCTAAAATATTTAGATATAAATATGTACATAAAAATACTTAGATAAATCAATAATCCATAATGCACCATTTTTGTCTTGTACGATCCACCACTCCACTTATAAAGCACAAAAATTTAAATCTCGGTAAGAAAAAGTAATATTAACCGGTTTACAATACAAGATTTAAATTTACAATACCCATAGTCATGGGAAACTTCTTCTAGGTGTAACGCCCAAAGCAAAAATGGGTCTCAATTTCTTCTCATTTTAATGTACCAAATCACAGCAAGTAATTACCGTTAATTAATCAGCATCTCTGTAACTAGCGCATAGCCGGAGCCACTGAACGAACAAACCGACCACCATTATTCAACACTCTGTTATTACCTCTGTCACCACCCCTCCTCTTCTTCACAACACCATCCTTTTCCATTATCTTACTCCTAAATGCAATTGTACCAAATGCACCCACTTGACCAGAATTTTCCCTACTAGCCCCACCGTTAACAAGAACTCTCGTGATCCCGACGTAGTGCAACGACTCCGCTATCTGCAACGCGCTCAAACCCCTCCCAGTCCTCGCCTCAACATCCGCACCTTTCTTCACCAGAAACTCCGTCACGTCGGCGTGTCCTGCCTCCGCCGCACAATGCAGCGCCGTGTACCCGTCTTCGTCCTTCGCGTCCACCTCCACCTCTCTCTCCACCAGAACCTTCACTGCGTCGATTCGCCCCTTCAACGAGGCTCGGTGCAGCGCGGTCCAACCGTGCTGGTCCCTCCCGTTGAGGTCCGCTCCATTCTCGAGAAGCTTCTGGATGCTTCTCGCCTCGCCTTTCCTTGCCGCCACGCATAACTTGTCGGCCAGACACAGGGCGTCGAAGAGGCGTGCGTGGCCGTTCTCCACCGCGACGTCGTACGCGATTTTGCCTTGCGCGTTTCGAATGTCTTTGTGAGCACCGCTCTTTTGCAGCAGGAGTTTCACAATGCTCTCGTCTCCTGCGGCTGCTGCCACGTGTAGAGGGGTGTCACCTGTTACAAATAGTCATCGTTACAAATTATAGTATGCAAAGATGAAGGGGTGAGGTTTCTTAACAGGATTCTCGAAAAAATGTTCAGGTGAAAATAAGTTATATTTGAGGTTCTAAAGGAATAATAGATTATTTTAGTCTATTTTCAGAAAAAAAAGTTAAAATAATTAAAAATTAAAAGCTAACTATTTTTTATAAATTAATAGTTATATTATAAATGATCAATAATCTTATCGATGAATCCAACTTATACTCATTTTAAGCATGAATTAAACTAAACAAATTAAAAATATATATTTAATTTAGATTATATGTATATATATATATATATATATATATATATATATATATTTTTTTTTTTTCTAATCTAACATTTTTTTTCTTAGATTAATTTTGATAGTCCCATTTATTAGTTGACATAATTAATTATTTTATAATTTTAGGCAAAATTTATTCACACGAAATATAGGAATAAAAGATAAAATAATTTTTTATAAGTTAAAATTTATTTATATAAAAACTAGAAATAAGAATTTAAAAAAAAATCTAAGAATTTTTTTTATAAATGAATTATAAATATGTTATTTTTAATTTATAAAAAACATATTTTCTTTTCTCCTTTATCTTATTTATATATGTGTTTTTGAAAAAATATTAAAATATATTAGAAATAATATTTATAATATTAGGTATATATTTATAAAATAATAATAATTTTACTAAATTAAAAATGATAAGACAGAGTGTAGGCACTACTCACTATTTTACCAACGACAAAAATGAATAAAGAAAAAGCATATCACAAAAAAAAGCTATGTGTTTTTCCTCCAATGAAAAGGTACTACCTACAGTAAAAAAATATATTATTTTTAAAGTAATTTTTTTTTTAATTTTTAATTTTTTTTTTTGAAAAATATTTAATAAATATTTTTATTAAAATTAATAAATAATATTTTTAATTTTAATTTTATATTATATCTTTGTCGTTTCACGGCTAGGACGAAGTTATTAAAATTGTTTTTAGCTTTGATAGCAACTTTTTGTTATAGTTAAATCTTCTTTTCCTTTAAAAATATAGAGTAAAAATCCCTTTAAAATAATTTTTATTTTTTAATAGATTTTTAAAATTTTTTCACGCTACCTTCTCTTGCGTTCTTGATGTCAGCTCTGGCACTGTTGGCCAAAAGGAGTCTAACACAATCTCTTCTACGCTCCTCAACCGCAACGTGCAACGCCGTGTTGGCATCTTTCGTGAGGGAGTCCACTTTGGCGCCTTTGAGCAAGAGCAGTCTCAAGACCTCCACGTGTCCTCCTCTGGCCGCGTGATGAATAGGCCCGAACATGGCAGATTCCGCTCGCTCGGTGTTGGCCCGGCGGGCCAGAAGAAGCTCCACGATCAACGCTTCGTTGCACGCCGCCGCCGCCTCAAGAGGGGTCATCCCAGAATGGTTCATTGCCTCGGTATCAGCCTCGAACTCCAGAAGCAGTTGAACAATATCAGCTCTTCCCCGCGCAATCGCCAAGTGGAGCAACGTCTGGCCACGTGGGTCGGTGCTGTTCACAACCCTCCATAAAGGGTCGCTTCTCTCTAGGGCTTCCCTCACGTCGTCGATTTCGCCGAGAGAGACCAACTGGGCCAGAATGTGTGACCCTAAAAACATGACATTTATGCCACTGTCAATGAAGACTTGTTTTTTCTTGAACCAGTCGGAGGGCACGGCGTCGAACATGGAGGAGGGTTCCCTGATGGCAGCTCCGGGAACCAAGACGCTGTGTAGGAGGAAGGAGTCGTTGGAGTGAGGGAAGGAGTGAGGGAGGGAGTGTTGGATTCCCAACTGGGAGGTGGTGGAGCCTATATGGTAGCTGATTTCCACTGTGAGTGTGGCTAAGGGGGAGATAATACCTGAGTGGGGCTTCACTGTGTAACGGGTTTTGATGAGGGGTTGAAGCCTGAAGGCCACTGGCATTGTGTGCATGACGTTGTGTAGGGTGATTTTGCCTTGGCACTTTTGGCCTGGTTCTACTCTGATCAGGATCGTGTTTGATGGCTCTAACCTTATGAGCCTGTCCATTTCGTAGTTTTTAGGGTGGATCGATGAGGGAGGAAAAGCATAAGCAAGAGGAATTAAATGAAAGTGAAGTTGGTTATAAGTTTTTAATTTATGGGGGAGAAAGAGTGTAAGAGGGGCCGGCTGAATTAGAAAATGCCAAGTGGTGGTGGAAAAAACAATGGGGACTTGTTCTATTCGGTGTTTGGACTCTACGTGACTCGCAAAACATTTAGTTGTTGAACAAGGCAGGATCATAAAGCAATGTTAAATGTTTGCTTTTCTACCAAACAGGGTTACAAAATTTTTTATTTTACTTTTAGGGGTTAAAAAATTTTAATTTTCCCAAAATAGGTAAACGGAAAAAAAAGAAGAGGATTTCACCAGTAAAATCGTGCTTCAAAGCACGATTTTGACTAAAATAGTACAAAGAAACACCATTTTAAAATTATGTTTCCAAACACAATTTTTTTTTTAATTGTACTTTCAAGTACGATTTCACCTTAAAAAAAATGCCATGAAACACGATTTTTTTTTCAAAAACACATTTTTTTTAAATATATTATTTAATAAATCATTATTTTCAATTGAATTATTAACTTAATAAAAAATAAAAATGTTTAGATAAATATAATTAAATTTAATTCACTATATTTATATTAAAATATTACATGCATATATATTATCACATAAAAAAATTAATGATGAGACATGTCCTACAAGATGGTCTTCTTATTTGTCATCTTGGTGTATGTGGTTAATCTTGAATAGACATTTGTTGTGTTAGTGTAACACGTGTACGACCTTATGATGGTTGAGGTTGAATGTTTGTTTCCCTATCATCATCATCCTCTTCATTCGCATACTACATAGGGGACATAATGAGCATAGTAGTCACAAAAGGTGTTTGATTGTATGTTGATGGTGGTGTCATGGAAGAGGTGGAAAACATGTTTGTTTCATATGGAAACGAAGTAAATGTAGGAGGAATTTGTCCTCCAAATTGAAATTGCGCAGGTAAATTTTGGAGTTGACCAACATATCTAAAATATGGACAAAGTTGCTGATCATTTGACTGACCAACACGTTGATTACTCGACTGACCAACATGTTGATGACTTGACTGACTAGCATCACTACAAGAAAAACATCAAATAGTGACCGAAAATTCGGTCACTAAATCTACAAAATCGGTTACTAATTAAAATAGTGACCGAAATAGTGACCAACTGGAATCGGTCACTATTTCCTTGGTCACTGATTTTAGTGACCGATTCAGTGACCGATTATATATAACCAAATCGGTCATCTGAATCGATCACTAAATCAATGAAAAAGTTAATCAATGACAAATTTAATTATTTTTATTTATTTACACTTTTATTATATCTATTATTTATTTTCCCTATTTCTTAATTATATTATATTTTGCTTATTTAAGTTTTTATTTATATTTATTTCCCCTATCTTTATTATATTTTTTAGAAGTTTAACTTATTATTAGGTGGTTTATTGTCATTGTCAGGATTCGAACCCGGTACCTTAGAGTTGGAGGCTGAAACTCCAACCACTCGAGCTACTAGGATCTTTTAATAATAACATACAAGTAAATTATATTTATATACAAATAAATGTATATCACGTATAAATATATAAATATAAAATCTATAAATAAAAATATATTTATATATTTTAATATATAAAATCTACAAATAATGGTATATTAGTATAGTATCGTATATTTGTATTCTAATTTTTAATTAAATTAAAATTATGCTAATAATGTATATTAATATATGAGGGGATAATATTGATATATTTGTATATATATATATATATATATATATATATATATATATATTTATATATATTTATATATTTATATATTGATATATTTATATATTAATATATTTATATATTTATATTTTTATATTTTGATATATTTATATATTGATATATTTATATATTTATTTATATCCTTATACATTTATATCTTTATATATTTATATATTTGAAAAAAAATATTAAATTTTAAAAATAATATTATATTTTTAAAAATAAATATTAGAAAAAGATTTAAAAATATATATAAATTATATTTACATTTACAAAATATTAAAGATATATGTTTATATCTTTACATATTTATATATATTTATATGTTTATATTTTTACATATATTTATATCTTTCCATATTTATATATTTATATATAAAGATATTAGTTTTGTATACAAATAATATTATAATATAGTATATTATACTATTAGTATAGTATACAAATAATATGTTAGTATAGTATAGTATACAAATTATTAATTTTGTAATTTATATACAATGAAAATAATATAATGGTATATTGGTATAGTATATTTGTATTCTAATTTTTAAATAAACTAAAATTACGCTAAATGTATAATAATATATGAGAGGATAATAAATTTAATCCAATTACTTTTATAAATATATAAATATAAAATCTATAAAATATTAAAAATGATATTATATTTTTAAAAACAAATATTAGAAAAAGGTTTAAAAACTAGTATTATCTTAAATTTATTAAAAGTATAATTAAATCTCTATTTTCTTAAATTTTTTTAAACTTCTCAATTCTACATTTTTGTAAGTTCTATCATTATATTATATCATCCTCATCTCCTCCCATGTTCTACTTTATCTTTACAATAGTCAATATTCTTAACTAATTTATAGTTTTAATTATAATTTTTTAGTATATATTTCAGAAATTAATCAATTCTAATCTATTATTTGAAAAACTAATCAATTCTAATCAATAATTTAGAAAACTAATCGATTATAATTAATTATTTGAAAAAATTATCAAATATGATCGATCATTTCAAAAATATAATCGATCAGAATTAATTATCGCTCGAGCGAGACTAGACTCGCTCAAGCGAAATACAAGTCGAGAGTACCAATTTTGTGCAGGGGCGTTTCGCTCGAGCGAGAAAGTTGTCGCTCAAGCGAGATACAGTTTAGATAGCGGTTACACAGAACCGCTCTTAAAAGCTCACTTAGATAGCGGTTAACCGTTGAACCGCTATTATATGGTTTCCATTATGATCGGTCAGAATGAAATTATGACCGATCATAACTATTTTAATCGATTAAAATCTAGTTTCAATCGATTAAAACAATTTCTACACAGCGTTTTAATCGATTAAAACTTATTTTTATCAGCTTAAAATAACTTGAAAACTTATATTAACTATTTTTTTATATTATGTTTTTAAATTTTCTATTAGAGAAAACCTTTCAGAATTCAAAATGTTAAATACTTTTAAATATTAAAATTAACTTTATAAAAAATTAGGAAAAAAAATTAATCCAAAAGAGTTCAAAAATGTATTATAATATTGTCAATTTTGAGTTTAATTATATGGTTCATTCTCAAAGTAGAAAAATATAATTTAAAATTTTAATACTAAAATTAAAAGATTAAATAATAATAAATTTAATTCTTTAAATTCAAGTAGCTAGAAACTAAAATTATAGTTTCTCTGTTTGAAATAATTAAAATAAATATTTAAAAATAAAAATCAAAACTAGTATTATCTTAAATTTATTAAAAGTGTAATTAAATCTCTATTTTATTAATTTTATTTGTTTCAAACTTCTCAATTCTACATTTTTGTAAGTTCTATCATTATATTATCATCCTCATCTCCTCCCATGTTCTACTTTATCTTTACAATAGTCAATATTCTTAACTAATTTATAGTTTTAATTATAATTTTTTAGTATATATTTCAGAAATTAATCAATTCTAATCTATTATTTGAAAAACTAATCAATTCTAATCAATAATTTAGAAAACTAATCGATTATAATTAATTATTTGAAAAAATTATCAAATATGATCGGTCATTTTGAAAATATAATCGATCAGAATCGGACTTAGCTTGAGCGAAGTAGTCTCGCTCAGCGAAATACACCTCAGATATCTAATATGCACTTTAGATAGCGGTTATGAGGGAACCGCTATTATATCCTCTCAATTATGATCGGTCATTTCAAGTTATGATCGATCAGGATCGTATTTCGCTCGAGCGAGAGTAGTGTCGCTCAAGCGAAATACACCCCGAGAATGCGAATTCGTGCACATGGAGTTTCGCTCGAGCGAGAATATTGTCGCTCAAGCGAAATACATTTTAGATAGCGGTTTCACAGGAACCGCTCTTAAAAGTGAACTTCTAATAGCAGTTAACCATTAACCGCTATCTTAATTATACTTTAGATAGCGGTTAAGGTGGAACCGCTATCATATCATCTCAATTATGTTTTGCCAAATGCCTCTACAAATGTTTTTAACAATTAAAAACAAAGTATTTTGACAAAAGCTTTCTCAAATGCCTCTACAAAGTATTTTTCACAATTATATTGAGTTTAATTCTACAAATTAAAAGATTAAATAATAAATTTAATTCTTTAAATTCAGTAGCTAGAAACTAAAATTATAGTTTCTCTGTTTTAAATATTTAAAATAAATATTTAGAAATAAAAATTAAAACTAGTATTATCTTAAATTTATTAAAAGTGTAATTAAATATCTATTTTCTTATTTTTATTTGTTTCAAACTTCTCAATTCTACATTTTTGTAAGTTCTATCATTATATTATCATCCTCATCTCCTCCAATGTTTCTACTTTATCTTTACAATAGTCAATATTCTTAACTAATTTATAGTTTTAATTATATTTTTTTAGTATATATTTCAGAAATTAATCAATTCTAATCTATTATTTGAAAAACTAATCAATTCTAATCAATAATTTAGAAAACTAATCGATTATAATTAATTATTTGAAAAAATTATCAAATACGATCGATCATTTCAAAAATATAATCGATCAGAATCAATTATCGCTCGAGCGAGACTAGACTCGCTCAAGCGAAATACAAGTCGAGAGTACCAATTTTGTGCGAGGGCGTTTCGCTCGAGCGAGAAAGTTGTCGCTCAAGCGAGATACTGATTTAGATAAGCGGTTACACAGGAA